TTTGTTTGAGTCTATAAATTTCTCCACATTGATCAAGCTCAGCTGGATTGCACCACTTTTATCTCCTCAGACTGAGCAAGGCATCATGAGATTGTCCACCCCATTTTTGGCAAACGCTGCATTTTGTTTGCTCATTTTGTGGTACTATTTATTCCCTTTATTGGAATTTCTTCCCTCCGTCACTCAGTCAGTGAATTTTCCTTTTCCTTACCTGAAGCTGCTACATCCTATCACTTCCGTAAGTCACGTCTGCTTCCCCCCACCCACTGTGTCCCCTGAAACTTCGTGATCTTCTGTACAAATCCTCCCATCCCCCTTCTCCGATTTGTCATTTCTGAACATCGTTTTAGATCGTCTCTTCCCATCCAGCATGAAATGGGTTCTGCTGGGAGAAAGACACAGCAGCTTTACTGAATGTGCTCAGGTTGCCTGAGATTGCTTGATAACAAAGAAATTGCCAATTTCTGGCAGGTAATGCTTTCAGATGTTAAGCCTGGGACAGCCGTGGGGCAGACAAGACCTTCCTAAAGGCACATTCCCTTCTATTTATCACTACCCTGAAATACCATCTTTCTGAGGTACTGATGAACCTGATATGCTTTTCCCACAATCTCGGTACAATTTGGTGCTGCATTGCTTTCACATTAAAAAAAAAAAAATTAAAAATTACTTTATTTACTTGTTTTCATTTAGAATAGAAAACTTCAGCACAATGCACAGAAAAAATCCTTTATTTTGTGGAGTTATAGACAGGAAAAGACAATGAGGTACATGTTATTATATCGGGTGTTTATTTTTACACTGAAAGCTATTGCTGTTTCTTCCTGATATTTTTCCTGGCAATAACAAGGTAAAAATGTTTTATTACACAAATTATATACACACAGTGTTTTAAAATGAAAATAAAATTTTTTAATTTTTAAGTTTTAAAATGAAAATAAAATTATATACGCACAGTGTTTTAAAATGAAAATTACCTGTATAAAAGAGACTTTCAGCCAGTCTATAAAGGTAGCTGGAAATTGGTTTGAATCCATGCATCTAATGGTCACCGAAATTTGCATGGGAGCAGGTTTAACTTAAGTCTAGGTGCTGTTTACTTTAGTTAGGCTTTCATAAATGTTGGACAAGACGCATGAAAAAATGCTATTGTAAATGGTGAATAAAATCTAAAGCTAAATAGTTAAGGCATGGATTTTTAGAATTCTAGAGTCTAACAAATTTATGTGTTTTAATGAGATGTGGCACTTCAGTTCCCTTTAAAAACAAAAAAGCCCTCTGAGTTGTTTGGTTTTCTTTTCTGTATTCAAGTAATAACATTTATTGGTAATAAGTTAATACTCCTA